CTGGTTTGTTAACTCAGAAAGTATTAACTTTTTTAAATATTCACATTTTGATTTTTTTTTCAAAATCCTAGCAGTTATTGAAAAATACTAAGCCCTTCAGAGGCTGTTTTTAAAAATGAATTATAACACTACAAATTGTTTGCCCCCTAAATGTATCATTGGTCTCTGGTGACTATCAGACATGTGCCAGTCAAGGTCTCTGCTGATTCTCCGGTCCAAACTAAATAAAGACATGTTCCAAGATGAGAGCTGTGCTTGGTTGGGCTCTGGCGATTGGTACTGTTTGCTAGAGCTCTTTATGCCATGTAATGCAGAGATACAAGACTCCAGAAAGTATGAGTACAAGCCCAGAACCTCTTGTAAGGCAGTACCTGACACCTTGGCTGATGAGACCACCAGGGGACTCCCAAGTGAGTAAGAACATAATCCAGGGAGCCAACCAGCACTGAAAGAAGAGTCCAAATCTTCATCATCTGAAACTGCCAAGAAATGACCTTTTTCTCTAGGATTGGTTGGCATTTCTTGGATTGTATACTAGTCATGTCTATGCAGCTCTCCCAAAGGCCATTAATGAAAGAGACATCTTCAGGGAAACCAGTTCTTTGGGAGAATTCACGTCACTGTGGTGTTACAGTATCAGCCAAAATCAGGATCCAGCCCATGGGAGTAACCACTAGTCTGAATATTGTGGTGCCATTTGTCATATTAGATGAAAACTGGGGAAGGTATGTCTTCTAAGATCTAAGAGGAGAGGAGTAAGAGATGCTTCTAAAAGAGCAAAACGACCCTTTCCTCCTAAAGAACTTCTTTCAATCTTGCTCACCTCCTGGTTTGGGACTAAGGTTAGAATCCAAGGGGTTATCTTTTACAGTTTCAAAAGCTGTGTCACCGTAATGCATTTGCACACGCTGCCTTCTCAAATTTTAATTCCAAATAATTTGAATCAACTTCTTAAAGCATGAATGTTATGGTTTGACCAAACCAAGCTTTTTCTGATAACACTTTTAACAGTGGAGCTCTTCCTATTTTTGGATCATGTTTGTGGCCAGTCATAACGAATACCTTTAATTATTAAAAAACCACATATTGGTAACGGAAATACAAATGTGTTGTGAATGACCTGTCAACTTAATATGATCCTGGATTCAACTGTGCTTAATTATTACAGGCATTAGCAAGTCAAAAATTTTTATTTTTTATTTCTAAACTGCCGCAGAAAAATGCAGAAAATATGATGACTACTTATGAGATTAGCAGACCATCAAAATCCATGCTTTTATTGAAATTAATAAAGCTGTTTTGCCTTTACTAAGAGAATTGGAAGACAGAGTTGTGAACCATGAGATGTCTTAATAAGCACTGAAACACAGATGAGCATTCTTCTATATCGTTTATTCTTTTTGGTTTTGGAGATGGAGAAATTCAGGTAAATGTGCAAAGCAATTGGTAGAATACTGGTACATACATTGTATGTTTGCTGCAGTCCTAACTGTGGGACCTAACGAAATGTTGATGATACTGTGTCATGAGGGAAAGAATAATAAAAATTAAAACTCAGAGGCAACTCAAATTTTCTGGAACTTTCATTGACACGTATTCAATATGTCATGTTAAATTTGACTAACTTAAGTATGTTGTCTGCACAGAAATGGTGAATGTTTTTGAGCCCCCATAATACACATTGCAATGTTAGATGGTGGTCCCTAGAAATTTGAAGTAAACTCTTTCAGGATTCTGCTATTAGGTAGTTAAACATTATACTGTAATGTGCAATTGCAAGGACCTTTCTAATTGCTTTGGATAATTGTCCAGCTGCATCCTGAAAACTATTTTTAACTCACGGTGGTATCTTGTGTCTTATGAAGATCCAGCAGAAGAATTTGGGTCAGTGATCAAGTGTCTGAAACAAGGAGTATCACTTGATTTATTTGCTTTATTTTTTATATTATTCTCTAAAGCACCAGAAGGCAAGGCAAGAAACAATGGATGGAAGCTAATCAAGGAGAGAAGCAACTTGGAATTAACGGAGAAACTACCTAATAGTGAGAACAATTAACCAGTGGAACAGTTTGCCTTCAGAAGTTGTGGGTGCTTCACCCCTGGAGGTTTTTAAGAAAAGGGTGGACAGCTACCTGTCTGAAACGTACTACCCTGTTTCCCCCAAAATAAGGCATCCCCTGATAATAAACCGAATCTGGTTTTTGAGCGCATGGCAATAAATCCAAGCGCTTATTTCAGGGTTCAAAGAAATATAAGGCAGGGTCTTATTTTCATGGACACACGGTATAAAGTCTCCTGCTTGGGCCAGGGGCTTGGATTAGAAGACCCCCAATGTCCCTTCCAGCTCTATTCTGATTTCTGACATGAATAATGGGTAGAAATGCCTGATTTGCAATGGGTCAAGTCTAGTCAACCACATTTCTTCTTTATTTAATTGTAGAGAAGCAGTTTGGTGTAGTGATGGAGGTGCTGACTTAAAAACCAGGGGACTTTGAGATCTAGTCCTGCCTTAAGCATGAAAGCCAACTAGTGACTTTGGGCTAATCCTCCTCTCACAGACCAAACCACCTCACAGGGCTGTTGTGAAAAAAATAGCAAGGAGTACTATATTAGGCGTCTTTGCCACCTTGAGTTGACATACGTATATAATGTATATCGGTCTATGTATATACTGTATGCAGGGGTACAAATTCATATAGATATGTAAAAAGACAGGATAAAGATCTAATAATTCAGTTAGTTAGCTTTATTGATTAGCCTATAAGCCATATTGAAGCACAAGATGCAAACACATATTAAAAATCTTTTAATTGGGGAATTTTATGGGTAAGGGGTTTTAAATTGGGGAAGCCAAAGATAAATTTAATTCTGTTTTATAGTATTTTAATGTTTGTATTGTGTGTTTTTTAATTTTGGCTGTTCACCGCCCCGAGTCCTTCGGGAGAGGGGGCGGTATAAAAATTTAATAAATAAATAAATAAATAAATATCACCAATAAAATCTTATACAAACAATTTAAAATAAAAATAGGGTAAAATACAATAGTGATAGGATAAGATACAATGTAATTTGATACATAAATATATAAAATAGAGTAAAATGACATAAAATTATATTTCGGTGTCACCCTTACAATCTACCCCAATCAGTCCTACATATGCAGATCTCAACCGAACCATTTTGTTTAAGTACTGTGCTGTGTTAAATGTTATTTTCAGGTTCTGGCCACACATAAAGTATGTTGTTTTGATATGGGGATCCCAATGGGTCATTCGTTTGGTATATGGACCAAGGTACCTGTCTCTTACCCCCTTATACAAGCAACAGTCAAATAGGATGTGAGCCAGGTTACTTCTTCTGCCGCTCCGCAAATGCAGACACTCATTGTAGGGTATAGAATGGAATCTCCCATATCTGACCATTGTGTCAAGCTGTTTGAATCTCGCTCGCGTAAATATCTCCCTAAGATGTTTTGGCAGTTGTAACTTCAAATAGCTGTCTACTTGAAAAGTACATTTGTATTTGCTCAGCCATTTCAAGTTACCCACCTTACTAAGGAAAGCTATATCATTTTGTGCTTCTATATCCGTCATTCTTTGGGCAACTCTTTTTTTGAATTGTTCTCCTGTTACACAGGAGACAGGAAGGCCACAGCTTCTTACAAAATTTGTTACTTTGGTGATCCAGGAGATTTGTGATTGTAATTTTATTTGCTCTAGGAGACATCACTTGGGGAGTCTACCAGTCTCCATTTCATTGACTTTGCACCAGTAGTTAGATACTCTAATTTTGGATAGTGCATGAATTGTATCTAATTGTAATGGTATCTAATAAACTCATCTATAGACCTCCTCCCATCCCAACAAAATCTTCTCTTATGCTTATCCTTCTCACCCCACTGCCTCTTGTGCATTTGATCTTCTATAATTAAAAAAACATTTTTTTTAGCTGTTCTGCCTTTTTGTCCAGCAAAAAATGAGAAGGCTGACTAGAGGAGGGCTGAGCTTCACCAAGCAACAGAATAGAATAGAACAGAATAGAATAGAATTTTTTTTTTATTTTTTTATTGGCCAAGTATGATTGGACACACAAGGAATTTGTCTTGGTGCATACGCTCTCAGTGTACATAAAAGAAAAGATACGTTCATCAAGAATCATAAGGTACAACACTTAATGATAGTCATAGGGTACAAATAAGCAATCAGGAAACAATATCAATATAAATCGTAAGGATCCAAGCAACAAAGTTACAGTCATAAGTGGAAGGAGATGGATGGTGGGAACGATGAGAAGATTAATAGTAGTGCAGACTTAGTAACTAGTTTGACAGTTCCAACTCAACCCCTAAGAGAGCATCATCAGATAATCAACGTAGGTCCATTCTTACATTATTTAAATCAGGGGTCTCCAAGCTTGGCAACTTTAAGCCTAGTGGCGCAGCAGACTAATAGCCTGTTATTAACATTCAGCTGCCCGCAATTACTGCAAGTTCGAATCTCCCCAGGCTCAAGGTTGATTCAGCCTTCCATCCTTTCTAAGGTAGGTAAATTGAGGACCCAGTTTGTGGGGACAATAAGCTGATTTCGTATAAAATATACAAAAGAATGAAGGCTATTGCTTAACACATTGTAAGCCGCCCTGAGTCTCCAGAGAAGGGCGGCATATAAATCAATTTAAAAAAAAAAAAAAACTCCCAGAATTCCCCAGCCAGCATAGCAGAGCTGGCGGGGGGATTCTGGGAGTTGAAGTCCACCAGGCTTAAAGTTGCCAAGCTTGGAGACCCCTGATTTAAAGTCTTCCTACGGCCAGCGGCAGGGAACAATTTTGTTCCGCTGTCAATTTAAATTGGGGCGAGGGGCGGAGCTTGTTGGCAAAACAGAATTTCTATTGGACAACCCCCGACTGTTCTAATCTCCAGGATGAAGGACTAATAAAGAGACAGCGGTCCGGACGCCGCGAGCTGTTCATGGAACCCGCGCGCGCCTGGAATGTCGTAACCTCCTGCTGGCAACGGTTGCTGCGCACGCGCAGTAGCCACGGGTCCGGGCAGGCTTAATCGCCGCGGTCTCTGAGGCGCAGTTTTTCGCTGGCGGCGGTCGTTAGTCTCCATTTATAGTTGCCTTAAGTGGAGGCCCGAAGGGTCCCTCGGAGGTAATAATCAAAAATTACTTTTCTCCTTTTGGTTTAGAAGTTCCCAACCCTGAAGAGTTTCTCGTTTTCTTTCCCTCAGTGCTTCAAACCTCTGGAATTGACATCCCTACTTTTTTTTAATTGGGGATGGGGGGCGCGTGACGGAAAGTGAAATTGTGTACTTGGTTTCCTTCCCCCCCCCCCTCAGCTTTACCCCAATTGGAGCGCTCGGGACAGCGCGAACTACGATGTCCATCTTTCCGAGCCTGGACTTTTCAGGCTGGAGATAACGGGAATTGATGTCTTGATGGGTCGAAAGGGCTCCAGGTTGGGGAAAGCGGCTTAGTTTGGCGCATGCGCAGAGCTGGTGCTAGAAGGGGTCTTATTGCATTGGGGAAGCACGCAAACCCCCCCCCCTCCCCCGCACACACATGTATTCCTCCCCCTCTCCAACTTTTCCTGTTGGAGAGATATTCCTGGTATATAATGGTGACATGAATGATTAATTTATAGATAAGGTAAAAGGTAAAGGTTCCCCTCACACATATGTGCTAGTCGTTCCCGACTTACATAATTATAAATTATAAATATAATTATAATTTATAAATATTTATAATGTATAAATATTTATAATTTATAAATAGAATTATAAATTAGACTTACATAATTATAATTTACAGGTATAGCCCTTCACTTATGATCACAGTTAAGCCCGACATTTCTGTGGTTAAGGGTTGACAGTTTAAGTGAGTTTTGCCCCGTTTTACAACCTTTCTTGCTGCAGCTGTTAAGTGAACCATGGCGTTTGTTAAGTTAGTAACATGGTTGTCAAGTGGATCCCTGCCCTTGTTAAATGAATCTGGCTTCCCCCCATTGACTTTGCTTGACAGAAGGTCGCAAAAGGTGATCACATGACCCTGGGACATTGCAACCGTCATAAATACATGCCAGTTGCCAAGTGTCTGGATTTTGACCACGTGACTGTGGGGATGCTGCAAAAGTTGTATGAAAAATGGTCATAATTCACTTTTTTTTCAGGGCTGTTGTAACTTTGGTCACTAAATGGATGGTTGTAAGTTGAGGACTACCTGTATTTATTTTATTGTATTTAAATGTACAGTCCATCCAACTCCAGTGGACTTTGGCTGGAGCACAAAATTAAACACATGAAAAGAGCTAAAAATATGGCCATACATATGTATACTATTTTTTCTTTCACAAACCAAATCCGTATAATTTTTCTCCCCACAATAATCCTTTTGCTCTGGTGTCCCCTCCCCACCCACCACACAACTTTTTTTAGGGCCATAAAACATACTCCAGATAACAAGCATCTATTTTGAAACATGAATTATTCAGCGGCTAGGTTCACACAGCATGTTGTAATTAACATAACACTAGGGGCTAAGCTTCATTATTTTTTGTTTGACTTGATTGTGGCAACAAAAATACTTTGGTTATTTGATGTTTAGTCCAATGGTCCTCGAAACATTTTGGTCTCAGGATCCAATTTACATTCTTAAAAATGACAGTGTTTTGTTTAGGTATCTTATATCTATCTCTATACACTTACTTTATTATTTTTTTATTTTTTTTTATTTTATATTGGATTTCTATACCGCCCTTCTCCCTAAGGACTCAGGGCGGTGTACAGCCAGATTAAAAAAACATGCAGAACAAATATTAAAAACAATTAAAAGATATATAAATTTGGCCCAATTAAAACTCATTTACCAATTAAAAACGTTTAAAACATTTAAAAACAGTTAAAAATTTCATCTTAAGCCAGCCCGGCTTGTTTAAATAAATGGGTTTTAAGGGCGCGACGGAAGGCACTGAGGTCTTGGATTCTCCTTATCTCTGGGGGGAGCTGATTCCAGAGGGTAGGTGCCCCCACAGAGAAGGCTCTCCCCCTGGGGGTCACCAGCCTACATTGTCTGGCTGATGGCACCCCGAGGAGGCCCTCTCTGTGGGAGCGCACGGGTCGATGGGAGGTCGTTGGTAGCAGCAGGCGGTCTCGAAGATAGCTAGGCCCTATGCCATGGAGCGCTTTGAAGGTGATAACCAACACCTTGAAGCGCACCCGGAAGACAACTGGGAGCCAGTGCAGCTCGCGCAGGAGCGGTGTTACATGGGAGCGCCATGCTGCTCCCGTCACTACCCGCGCTGCTGCGTTCTGGACCAGCTGGAGCCTCCGGGTGCTCCTCAAGGGGAGCCCCATGTAGAGAGCGTTGCAATAGTCAAGGCGAGAGGTGACGAGGGCGTGAGTGACTGTGCACAGGGAATCCCGATCAAGAAAGGGCCGCAACTGGCGAATCAGGCGAACCTGACAAAAGGTCCCCCTGGTTACAGCCGTCAGATGTTCCTCCAAGGACAGCTGCATATCCAGGAGGACTCCCAGATTGCGAGCCCTCTCTGTGGGGGCCAATGACTCGCCCCCAATAGTCAGTGATGGAGTCAACTGACTATATCGGGATGCCGGGAGCCACAGCCACTCAGTCTTGGAAGGGTTGAGCTTGAGCCTGTTCCTCCCCATCCAGACCCATACAGCCTCCAGGCACTGGGACATCACTTCAAGGGCATCGTTGGGGTGGCCTGGGGTGGAGATGTACAGCTGGGTGTCATCAGCGTACTGGTGGTATCTCACCCCAAAGCCACGGATGATCTCACCCAGCGGCTTCACATAAATGTTGAACAGAAGGGGCGAGAGGACCGATCCCTGCGGCACTCCACAAATGAGAGGCCTCGAGGTCGACCTCTGCCCCCCTGCCAACACAAACTGCGACCGGTCGGAGAGAAAGGAGGAGAACCACCGCAACACGGTGCCTCCCACCCCCAACTCTTCCAGCCGGTGCAGCATGATACCATGGTCGATGGTATCAAAAGCCGCTGAGAGGTCTAACAGGACCAGAACAGAGGAACAACCCCTGTCCCGAGCCCTCCAGAGATCATCAACCAACGCGACCAATGCCGTTTCTGTGCTGTGCCCAGACCTGAAACCCGACTGGAACGGATCTAGATAAGATGTTTCCTCCAGGAATTGCGGAAACTGTCGTGCGACCACACTCTCAACAACCTTCGCCATAAAGCGAAGGTTGGAGACAGGACGATAGTTGGCCAATATTGCCGGATCCAGGGACGGCTTCTTGAGGAGAGGCCTCACCACCGCCTCTTTCAAGGCGGTGGGGAAGTAACCCTCACTCAACGAAGCGTTGATAACACCCTGGAGCCAGCCTCGTGTAACCTCCCGGGAAGCCAGTACCAACCAGGAGGGACACGGGTCCAGTAAACATGTGGCCGCACTAAGTCTCCCCAAAATCCTGTCCACATCATCAGGAGTCACAGCATCAAACTCCTCCCAGATAACATTCTCAAGACTATTCCTCGTCACCCTGCCCTGATCTACCCAGTCAGAGTCCAAATCCCCCCGGATCTGGAAATTTAGAAATTAAAGCAATGTTAAAATATTTTTTTGACTTCACAGACAGCCTGAAAGGGTCTTAAGGTTCCCTAGGCATTTGCAGACCACACTATGAGAAATGCTAGTTTACTGTATTGTACAAATGTGAAGTTTGGACAGAATTGCACGATCAAACAAATGGAAGATAACAAAATTTTCTGGCAATTATATAGATAAAATACAAGCAATATTTACTCCTTCCTTCCTTTCAAGGATTAGATCAATGTTGCCAGATTCATGAAAGGTTCATTCTTAGTTGAGAGACATAGGTCTGTATATACCAGTAATTAGCTGAATAATAGGGAAAGAATCCAAAAGTGTTATTATAAGGTATAATATTGAGTAAATTGCATTGGGAGGAAAAAAGTTGCGATAATGATAAAATAAATCTAATGATCTTTATAAACTCAGTTTTTTAAAACTAGGACACTGAACAAATATCTTGGCTCATGATGTTTGCTTTTGGTCTGCATTGCATATTGGCTGTTTTGCTATTCTCTGTTGATGTGATTGTAAAATTATGAGCTAGGATTTGTCATCTACAAATTCTGTTGTGGAGTAGCGGCCCAGAATTTAATTCAGAACTCAGCTGATACATAGCCTTCCTGAAGACTTCTTCATATGAATAAAAACATCCTGGTCAAAGTGTCTTCTGGAGATACATGAGATTTTGGGAAGGTTTCAGACCAGTCGGAGAGCTTTGATTCAGTTGGGTCTGATTGCATCATAGCTTTGAAGAACTGATCCAAACAGATCCATGAGAGCAATTACCAGAATTGAAGCTTTACTCAGGAAGATTGTTACCTTTTTATATTTATCCAAGCGTTATATTGTTGCTCTTACATTCAACTCCCTAGGTACCATCTGAAAATTCCAGATCAATTTGTGGTTCTAGAGAGAAGCTTTTATCATAAATCAAGAATGGCTGCCTCTGGGGGAACATTTATTGGAGTCCCCTCATCAAGCAATAATGATGGTAAATTTTCACTTTAATCCCTTAATTCTTAGAGTCCCTTTAATTTTTTTTACTCCTCTTATTAGATGAAATTGTAAAAATATTGAGACAAATAATACACTCAGTGAGGACCAATAAATTGGAAAATAGCCCCAACAGTTTGTGCAGGTTGCTACGATTAGTCTGATCAGTTAAGACAAGTGGATCACATTGAGAGATTCATCCTCATAATTCTGTCTCCTCTGTATATTCAGGCATGGAGCTCTGAAAGGCAGTTTAATGTCATGTGTACAACAAAGTCTCTAAAGCATTCTCTCCTTCTGCATGTGCTAGCCTGACAGTTCTTTTACTATTTGGATACCTTTCTCCAAATACTCCTTTCTCCTATTAGACATTAAGGAACAAGTACTACTTAGTGCCAGGGATATTCTTCCTAGGAAATTTTATTTAGCATTTCCCCACCCCCCCTTATTTTGTTTGTTTTCAATTTAGAATTGACTTCTGGAATTGACATAGATAGTTTTCTTGGCAATATTTTTTTTTTCAGAAATGGTTTGCCATTGTCTTCTTCCTGGGGTTGAGAGGGAATGACTGACCCAATATCACCCACTTAGCTTCTGTGGCAAGATTAGAAATCAGATTTCCATGTTTCTTAGTCCAGTATCTTAATCACTAACTAGATCAAACTGGCTTTCTCTAACTAAAATGTAAACAGCATTAAGCTACTTTTCTGCATTGCCTTCTTGGAAAATTTTTTGATCAATCCATTTTTCTCACATTTTTAGAATCGATTTTAAACTTTACAATCAACTTGCATTCCTAATAATCTGATTTGGTGTTATATACATTTGAAATTTATATGGTGAATCTCATGAGAGGGAAACACTGTTAGAACACCATGCTCCTTGCAGAGTTTAGCATAGCTGTTGTTGTTTTTCCTGTATTGAAATCTGAGAGCTACTAAGAATAACTTCATACATCCATCTAGTTAGCTCTGGTATTTCCACGTCAGTATTTTCAGCATTCAAGTCCTCCTTATCCCATATAGTGATTGGCAAAAACATACACTTGTTTTCAGAAGAGCCTGGTGCCAACGTAGAATCATTTACTGCATTTTCATAGCAGTAACTAGTTAACTGCTTCCTTGGAATAGCAGCCTCTTTCTTTATATATCTGGAAACAAATGAGGATTTCAATTCAGTGGATGGGAATTTAATTAAGATCTGAGGTCTTGATTCTTAAGTAAGTTTTGACATTTTCTAAAGCTTTAACTTATATTTTATGAGCAACTAGAATGCTATATGATTACAAAGTCTCATTTAATCAAAAAGGCTTACTCTGATTGTCTATTGAGATTTTATTATTAGTCATAAAACTATATACATTAAGAAAGCTATCATTACTATAATTACTGTAATTATTCTGGGCAATTTTCTAGATACTTGTGTACACAAAAGCCAGGGTAAGTGAAATATCAGCTGATCTATAAAGTTTTGTTTTTAATTCTGGTATTGTTTTTTTCTTTTCTAGCATCCAGCAGTCTCAACTATGGTTCTTCATTTCAACCCATCAAAACCCAAGTGGCCATTCCTACAGCTCATGTCATGCCCTCCACATTGGACAGATCACCTTGTCTAGCAAGTGAATCAAGCCCTCCTCAGACCACTTTGGCTTCCTCCATGCCAAATTCACTGGGTGACACAGGAGGACTGATGTCCAGCTATGACTCTGATACTTTGAGGCAATCCCAGGTGATCAACAGGAATTCTCTCTGTCTGAATCAGACTTCAGCAGAAAATGGTTGCAATCAGTCCTTGTTTCGTAGTCCTGGTCAGTCAGGTGTGGAATGTGTTCAGAAACCTATTAGCCTAGATGCTGAAGTCACCCATGCTGCTTTTCTAGATAGGCATTCTCTTGGTCCTTGGTCCCAACTCCAGATGTACACTCCAGGCAATTCAAATAGCACTTCTGCTGGCCTAGAAAAGGAATACAATAAAATACTGCAGAATACTAAACCATCAATAGATTCCAATAGAGTTTGTGGAAAGCAAGTATCCCTGGGACTTAATGCTGCTAGTATGTTTTCCACCCCTTTGGCTACTCGATCTCAGACATTGAAGCAGGAAGCTTGTACAATACATCCACATGAGAATTGTGCACACAGTGCTTGGAAACAACATCTGGATTGTGTTCAACTGCAACTGGAACAGATGCATGTAAGTTATTTTAACCTCTGTCTGTAGGGAATGTCTGCATATGTAGCTTTTCTGCCTATAATTTTTCTGCCAGGGCTCAGGAGGAGTATGTAGACCACAGCTAATGTTGTTGCATATAATTTTCAAAGAGAATAAATGCTGAATGGGGGGAAATCCATAGAAGTGTCTTAATTTAAAAGCCTGATGTATTCTAGTATTGTACTGAGGAGAAATAATCCCATAAGTGCTTTTATTGCAGAATCAAACCTTTAGGAAAGAAAACAAGGACTTGATGGCTGTAGATTTAGCTTTATAGGCTTTTAAAAAGTGGTGGCACTGTACATTTTCAAGGAGAGGTTGCAGGTAAAAGATATAGTATGAAGCATGGGCAATATAATTTCATTAAATATGAATCAACTATACAAATGCAAATACAAATATATACTACCAAATTTTAAAAATGCAATCTCAAAATTGATAAGTATAATAATTTAAAGAAAAATGGGGAATGGAGAAGAAATTAAAATTGTTATTAATAGTTCCAAAAACTATTATGACATTGCTTGAAAGTCCCTTGATTGAAAAAAAGTCAAATGTTGGCAAAATAATATCAACAGAGAGAACAAAAAAAAATATATCTAAAAACAATCCTCCTTCTCATCCCCCCAAAAAAATCTAACACTGATTTTCTCTTTGAGAACTGAATCTCATGCCTTGTCTCTGAATGTCATAATTCCAGCTGCAAAATAAAGCGACTTGCTACTATCCTTTGGTGAACAATACTTCACTGCACACACTTGATCCAGCTCAGTGGATTGGCATTGCCAGCACTAATGAAAATTTGCTCCTGGAGAAAGAAATTCTCATCGACAGGTAAGAAATTAAATATTAGTTTACCTTCTAGATTTTTTCACCAGAAAGTAACTGCTTAGATTGTATTTCATATTGATAGAAAAGCAAACAGTCTTTGGCGTAATAAACTTCACTGAATACTCTACAACTTACTTATGAGTGGTTAAGCTTATGCTTTATATTTCCATAGAAATATAAATGGTTCAAGACTATTTTTGCCCAAACACTAAACAGTTTAGTGTCAAAAACATAGGAATAGTGGGGAGGAACACCACTTTTTAAAGAGAGGTTTTCTTCCTTCTCTCTATTAATTAAAAAGGACACGCATGGCTTCTTCTGGTTATACTAAGATATAGCTTGTCTTTTAACTAGGATAACAAAGCTTTTGCTGCTAGTGTGAGTTGTGATTTCTCTTGAGTGCATTTAATTGGTTTTTATTGACTTATAAGAGGAATTATGAAGGCGGATAATTCTTTTTCAGATAGCTTTTCCCCATACATCATTCTGTGAGTCCATGTATTGATTTCCCGCTCAGTTACAAACCTGAAAAAATAAATGCTACTTAACCATTTTACTGAAAGCCCTCTAATGTTCCCTTTTATACTTTTAATTTTGTCAGTGTTAATATACTGAATGGGTTTATTCTCATAGGCAGAGACAGCACATTTCCCAGCTGGAGCAGAAACTACAAGAAAGTGAAATGCAAGTCCACAGTGCCCTCTGTGGCCATCTTGCTCCTTATGGGGATATGCATCTGTTCAGAATGCAGGTACTGGTGACACTTGAAAAATGCTATTGGAAAAGAATTTTAAATTCATTGTGGGATTAGAGAAGGCATGAATGGAGAAGAGACATGCTCTATAGCTGCTCCTTCAGGAACCTTTAATTTCTGCAATTATTTTTTCTTTAAAATCCCTTTTATTGGAGTGGAGTCAGGGCAACTGAATGGAGCTGAGCTTTGAGTGGCTGGATGCCCTGCCTGATGCCTATGCAGAGTTTGCAGCAAATATTTTCTCTTTGTGCCCTGATAGAGAAACATCTGCCGCTGCCTAGGATTGAACTCTTAGCCACCTGAGTATGAGGTGAGCATCTTCACCTCTAGGCCAGCACGCAGGTGTTTTGTTCCCTAAGCATTGGAGCCTGCTTGATTCTCTGGTGAGCACACTGAAGTAAATCAGATATTCTGTTTGTCCTTCAAATATTGATGTGTTTCTCTTCTTGTCCCCAGTATTTACTGAGCTCACATTCAATTTGAACAATTCTTCAATGAATATAATGATGAGTATAGATTTTAGGAGATTTTCTGGCTATTGCTATTTTATTTAATATCTTTTGCAGGAATTACAGCGGGAGAATATATTTTTACGGGCTCAGTTTACTGAAAAAACAGAGTCACTCAATAAGGAAAAGATTGAATTGGAAAGGAAACTGGCTGCTTCAGAAGCTGGTATTAAACGGATCCAGGAGATTCACAAAGAGACCATACAGAAGCATACAGTAGAATTGAAGAAACAAGAAGAAAGGGTAGGCTTTTTTTTGGATTAAGCCCCAATAGATGTCCCAATGTCTGCTTATTTACATGGGAATGCAATTTTTTGTTGTAATATTTGATTATTCTAATATTCACACTTCAAGCTTTGATACATTTCATTCCCTCTTGTATAATAGAGAAGTGCTATGGGAAATGATGTTTTTAGGAGTTAATAAAAGAAAGGAGCAAAAGGTAAAGCATTAATATTTTCCCAAAATGATTGCACTAAAGTTCGGCTGGAGTATTATTACAATGCTTCAGGGTTTCAGCAGAAAGCTAAATCCCTGCTCTTTATGTCATGTAAAAGGTAGAGTGGGTTCCATAACTCTGTTTCTGGAAAATGTTTTTTTTAAACATAGGCTAAGCCCCAGAATCACTTCTTTTTGCTCTACATAATGGTCCACTTTTGGGTCATGGGCATTCTTGCATCTGAAATCAATAATAGAAAGAGCTGCTACCTACCCCTGATATTCTATCCTGCAGATCAAGTCCAGAGACAAACACATTGAGCATCTGAAAAAAAAATGCCAAAAAGAATTGGACCAAAACCATGAGAAACAGCAGAGAATTGAGACTCTGGAGCGCTATATTGCTGACCTCCCAGTATTGGAGGATCATCGAAAACAAAGTCAACAGGTAGGAAGGCACCTTCCGGATGCAGCTGGCTTTGAAAAACAGCTGGATAGTGTAGGTCTGCAAGCTTGAACAGATTAAATGTGTTAGCTTTGTGAATAGTTCCAATTGCTAGAAGGCATTCCTTTTAAGTCTGATGTATATGTTTGTTCTCTCTCCACCCCACCCCCAACATTTTAGTTAAAGCAGTCTCAGGAGACAGTTAGCACTTTGCAAGAAACAGTAACTACTCTTGAAAGGGAGCTAAGAGATGTTCGCACTGACTGCCGAGAGAAGGAGCTGCAGCTAGAAGTGCAGAAACACAAAGAAATGGAACTGCTTTCCACAGTGCGCAGGTAACACCAGGGAAGTGGGAAAAAAACAAGAATGTTGGCTTCTAGGATAACCTAGAAATACATTGTGCTGCCTGGCAATAAAGCCTTCCTACAAATAGCAAGCACAGCAGACCCATATAAGAGAGACTTAGGTATCAGAGAAAGGGATGGGAATAAAAAGAGAGAAGTTCTTGACAGAATATCCTTTGAAGAAGAGTGACTGAAATATGCTTAGCCTTAAGGAAAAAACAACTGAGAGGAGGTAGAGTAGCATTTTTAAAACTCCTTCACTTAGAAGAATTTTCTCTCTCATTCCAGAGTGTAGGATATGGAATAATGGTTTTTAAGTTACAGGAAAGCAGATTCATTGGAATTTGAGAAAAAAGGATGTTCGTGTTAGTTGCTGTTAGACAGTGGAACTGATTATCCAGAGACATGGGTGTCTTCATTTCTTTGGATCTGTGCAAGGAGAGCCTAGACAGCTCATCTGTTTAGGATGCCTGAATGTAGATTCCTGCACTAAGAAGGCCAAATGGCTCCTTTCGATCCCGATTCTAGTGATGGGAACTGTGGTGTGAGGAGAAAAGAGCCTTGAAGGCCAACGGTGGCAAGCAATATGTGCTTTAAGAATCTACAGTGAATCGTCCCTGGACAGAGGCATTCACAGAACCCATCAGATTTACCAAAATGATGATGGGAATGGCAGGGCACAAATCCCACCCTCTTTATAATGGGTGTCCTCATGGCTTATATACAAATTGGGCAGATTTGCATTCTTTTGGCATGACACTTTATTTCATAATTTGTCCTACTTTGTATGGGTACCTCTCTCCAGAGAGAGGAAGGCGGAAAATGACTTTAGCCAAAAGTGTGTGGCCTTTGGACTCAGAAAAGATCCTGGGAGTAGCAGTCACAGAAGATATTACGGGTAGTCCTCGACTTATAACAGTTGGTAACTGTTACAACTGCACTGAAAAAAGTGACTTATGACAATTTTTCATACTTATGACCATTGCAGCATCCCCATGGTCACATGATCAAAATTCAGACGCTTGGCAACTGACTTATATTTGTGATGGTTGCAGTGTCCTAGGGTCATATAACCACCTGACAGGCAAAGTCAATGGGGAAGCCAGATTCACTTAACCGTGTTACTAACTTATCAAGTATAGTGATTCATTTAACAACTCTGGCAAGAAGAGTCATAAAATGGGGCAAAATTCACTTAACAAACATTTCACCTAACAACAGAGATTTTGGACTCCATTATGGTCATAATTCGAGGACATATATGAGCTCTTTCTCTGTTTGGGGAAGGATAATTCTTTTGGGAGGGGATTGTGTTTATATCTCCATCCAATACATGCTTTTCCCTCAACTGGGTGCCCGCCCTTGGAAGATACTCGATTTATTACACATTTTAGGACTCCCTTCTGAGCATCTTACAAAAATCAGCCTTGCGGGGCATTTGGCTTGCAGGGTGGGGGCAACCAAATTGGATCAGGCTTTGATGGCATCTTTATCTGCTTCCACCATGTTTTTCTTTGAATACAATGGGAATTTGGTAAGAGACCCTGCCTTGTTGCTGAGACTTGATTGTGAGAATGGAAGGGCATCGTTTGTAGACAATTTTAGCTTTTCAATTTCTCACAGACATGAAACTTCAACATACACAGAATCGAGACCAAAGAGTCTTTAATAGTTGGGGGGCTTTTTTGTATCAGTGCATGTCTTTGGAATGGAACAATGTTTTAATTAGTTTTAGAGGCAGAATTATGAAACTCACTTTCAAAGGGTGAGCTTGTAGAAAGTTGATTTCATTTAATGAAAACTTCTCGTTTCTTAGTTTACAAGATAAAATGCAGCAGATGAAGCCTTCAGTACCAGAAGATTATGCCCAAGAGATAGAGAGAGAGAAAGGAGAAAAAGAGGCTCTGCACAAAGAACGGGATCTTCTCAGGAAGGTAACTCCAAAGATGAGATTGGAGCTCTTAAGGTGGTGTCTATTCTGTATTGAATAGATAGAAGATCATTCTCTTCCTTTATGGTCTTACGATCACTTGTATATATCAATATTCTTGTATTAGGATCTCATATCAATATCTCATTGATCAAGCTGGGATGTACTTGATCAAAAGATTATAAACCAATCAAAGTTTTATATCATAAAGGATCAAAATTTACAGCCGCATTCACTTAAAATAAGCATACCTGGGTTAATTCTGTAGTCTACAGTTACAAATATGGGAATCTTCCCACATTGCCTTTGAAGAAACAAGTGTCTTGAGTGGGATGTTTGCCTAGTTTAATTTTGATAATTTTGGATTATCTTGGATAAATATTGTTTATATCTTTTTTTTATGATGAACACAGATGTTTGGCAGTTTAGCTTTTCCTGCAAATATGGTTTTAAACTAAGGCTGCATTGTATGGGATAGGTCAGATTTGCAATAAAATAGCTTCTCTGAAAGAACCCATAAATTATGCTAATTAGCAATTTGAGTATGTGGGATTATCCCCAGGAGTAAAACTTTTCAAGTCTTTTAGGTTAGTTAGATCATGTGCAAGGATACAATTGCTTGTGAGCGCATTCATTCAGCAGCAGGCACATAATGCTGGAAGATGTATGGGAACATTTGATCATTTTGATTCTTTAAATTTAGATTGTGGAAAATCAGAAGAAGAAATTGGATCACTTGTCTTCACAAATAAAGGTGAGCTTCTTATTGGAGCATTAAAGGCGAACTTCTTGTTGAAGCAACACATCACCAGTGACACCATCTCAATTTGTCTTTGACTCCCAGGATCTGGAGGAACAGATTGCCCAGGATGATGGTACAGCCCAGGCTCTGAGGGCAGAAGCCTTGAAGCAGGAAAATGCATTGCAGCAGCTACGCAGAGCTGTGAAAGAGGTATAGCTTCTTTTTAAAAATGTTGGCAGTTTTAACAATCCCAACTATCAGGATGTCTGATTCTTCTTACTAGTTTATTACTGCAGTTTCTCTCTCTGCATTGTGTATCCTTATCCATCTGATTTTTTCCCAGTTCAAATCTGTAGCCTGACTTGAATCTTCCCTCTTAATTAGTTCAGAAGTGCATAATCTTTTTTTAAATTAATGCCTGCACTTTGAGTAGATTAGGGACCATACTTTGAAAAGAAGGTAAAACGAGGAAAAACTCCATTTCATTTAAATTTAATTAAGGTAACAAGAATGTTATTTTTCTATATGTGTTAAATAAGTCTCCTTTCGATCAGTTCAAAGTAAAAATGAACACAGTTTAGAGGGATTACATGAGACCTGAAGAGAGCGCTTATAGTCCCATGATTCAAGTCTTTTGACCGGTACATACGCTATTAGTGTTTTGCATTATTGTAAGTGAGGCTGTGATTCTGCTAGGGCTGGTTCCCACAATTTTGTTATTGTGCTGAGATATGATTTACATCTAGTGCCATCTAGCTGCTAGATTTTCTCCTTTGGTACTAAAACATATTGTGGTAAAAGAAGGCTGGGTGGAGATTATTTGCTCTCCTGGAGACATGGTTGCCCAGCTGAATCCAGCAGAAGTTGGATAGTGGATGAAGCAGCACAATCCACATTTTGTTTTTCCCCACTGCTCTAAATAGTTTGGGGGAGGGAAAGGGTTGGACTGCAAACTTCTTATCTGGTGCCAAAAATGTCTGAATCAATGAAAAAACAAATCAATCACAAAGTTCCATAGAATATATGCAAACTCCTTCATTCTCCAATACTTTGTAAGTGAGGACAATCTACCAATTCCTATTCCCTGAAATGTATCTGAGGAATATTATTAAAAGTATGCTAAATTGTCTTTCCTATCGTAGGAATTTTATTTTTCTATATTTTGACCTCATTACCCTTCTCTTAATCAAGGATAGATTGCATTTACTGCTTGGAGTGGGGAAAAGAGGACAAATTACAACTGTCTGTAAATTGGAAGTTCTGTTCTGTGAAGCAAGGCATAAATGTATTGAAATATCTCCTGTCAGAATACTTACAATAATTTCCACTTTTCTTTGTAAGACCATTTTCCCTGGTAGCACAGATGCAATAATCTAAACTTTGTGTGTTTCCTTCCTTGTAAAAGCCAAATATCCCAGTCCTGCAAATCTAACTTTTCAGTTTCCAAACTGATGGTTAGCCTATACCAGGGCTGTCAAACTCACAGGCTGGATGTGTCATGCGCTGGCCACGCCCATGCCCAGTTTGCGAAGGGGGGGAAAGTTGGAATACATCACATGATGCCGCCGTGACGACGTGAGTTTGACACCCCTGGCCTATACTATGCCAAGAGTAATCTCAGAACTAAAGGCAAAAGCTACAGATGTACTTTCTGATGTCCAAGTTTCCAAACATGTTTGTAAAATCCAGAGTTGTGGAATCATGGCTAGTGAAGAACCAGGAATCATTTTTGAAAGCCTTGATTTTTTACATCTTATTTTTAGCTGTCTTCTCAGAACCAAGAATTGATGGAAAAAAACCTGACCTTCCAGGAGCATCTCCGGCAGATGGAGCTGGGCCAGCTGCTGTCAAATGAAACAGCCAGCCTGACCCAAGAGCTGCATAGTGAACTAGCCAGCTGCCTACAGGACTTGCACTCTGTTTACAGTGTGGTTACTCAGCGGGCTCAAGGAAAAGATCCCAATTTGTCGTTGCTGTTAGGCATTCACAGTAAGTCATAGGAGCCTGTTGTCTGCAGTGACAGATTATGGTCCCTTTGTTTGTAATACTTTGGGATTGTAATACCCTCATAGTTTTTTTAGCATGGTGTCCACAGCAAACCATGACACCACCTACCCAATGACACCCTCGTGCAGATCGTCCCATTACTTACTTGGGCCCTGATAATCTGACTCAGATCTCTTAAGTCACAGCACTTGCATGATATGTCCACATGTACATTTTGTCACTTGCTGTTCTTGCCCTCCATGTAGGCACTCTTATGTCCTACCTTGCCTATTGATGTTCTTTAATAGTACCTTATGGAAGTTAGGGAACGATACTATTTTGTGCTGAGAAAATCTTTTAACTCTTCCTTCCACTTTATTTAAGCATGATTGCTTCTTGTGGAGCTCCCTTGTGTAGAGTTTCAAGATTGTGGTGTGTGTAATGGTTATATTTGTGGTATTTTGCACTATCCACCTAACTCCAAACTACTTGGAGGTGATCCCCATGATCATTAATAAGAATTTTAAAAACTGCGTTCTTTTTTTTTATAAAAAGGGAAAAACCCAAATTCATAGCTGTTATAGGGATTAGATGCCAATTCCCAATGCTGATTTTTCACTGGAAAATGACTAATTAATCTGAGAACCTTCCTCTGATTTCACAGCTGTACATTATTCTGTTCAACAAGAAAAAGACTTGCTGAAACCAGACACATTAGCAAAGAAGGTGGAGGATGTAAAACAGTTACACAAAGAGATTGAAGATTTGCGGACTGCTATTTCGGACAGATATGCTCAAGATGTGGGCGATAACTGCATTACTCAGTGAAGGCCAAATAAGTGGAAAATGTGAACTAAGTTTGTACTGTGCATGGTGAGTTTTCAGAAGGTCTTTATTACCTGTTCCGGTGAAAATGCTTCCCACAGCTGGAAATCGGATTTTCTCTTGACAGGAAAGCTCTCGAAGGACAATGAGTCTTGTAAGGGTGTGGCGAAAACTTTTTTGTATCCTGCAATTCTGGATCTGGTTCCTGTTAGCAGCTGCAGTCAGGAAAATGTCTGCCAGCATTCATTTCTGTAATTTATGGCAGAAACGTTTTTTCAGACACTACAATCATGGAGACTCTTTTTCTTTGTCATGTAATTGCTGTGAGGTTGCGAAAGCTTTGATGAGTTAGGATTGAATATAAAATGGCAGTCTGTATGTAGGAAAAACTGAATCAGCTGTAGTAAAGCAAGTCTGAACAGAAGAAAGATCTATTTTTTAACAGGTTTTTGAAATTTCTAAGATAATCTTGCACCCTCAGGTTTTTTCCAATTCCTTCCTGAAACTAGAAATAATATGATGAAATTGTAGTAGGCATTGTTGCATTTCTCCTTAAATGTTTTAGATCTCCAAAGCCTGTGCTGGTTCCCCGGGTTTCAGGATATGACCACTGCTAATGGCATGGACACTTTCAATGTCAGTCTGTCATCCTGGTTCTTAACGTTTTCAATGCAGATGCACTTTTTAAACTATATTTTCATATCACTGTTCTCTATGCAAGCATTAACTTGACATTCTAGAATGTATGAATTCAAATGTTGAAATGCCTTAATTCTCCTAAAAATAAACCTTTGGAAAGAGAGAAACTGAATTTTCATATTGTTGCAATGTGGGCAATTAAGTTTATACACTGTGTAATAGAAAATTGCAGGTTGATTTTAAAACTAGCCCTTCTGTGAAACAGGAAGGTGATAATTTGTTAGTCCTTATGACTGAACAGATTAATGCACATTCTTCCACAAGGTTGTAATATTGGAGGAGTCTTTAATGCTGTGCCAGCACTTTACAAAAAGACCTTACATTAGGACAAGCATGGCTGGCGGTGGCTACTGATGTTGAAGAACTCCTGTCAACTGTAGGTAGCATGATCGATGGTGAAGGCATGTAGACGGTTTACACTTGCTCTTAGAATTGAAAATTGACCTTGAACAGAAAGCTGAATATGTTCCTGCAACACATCAAATGTTTACCAGTGGAAATTATTCAAATGAGAGAACTGTAAATCAAGCATTCTCCATTCTTTTGATTACAATCCCAGCTGTAGATGTATTTAACTAAGTATATGAATGCTTATGTAATTTAGTTAAAAAGATTGCTTATGATGGATTACTTCATTTACTGATGTAAAGGTTGGTTGTAATCAATGCTATTTATTCTTTAAAACAATATATTTTTGACAACCCCTTGAATGTTTTTTCATATAATTAAGATGGATATTTATCATTAACCTAGGGTCCTAGATATTCCAGTTTTCTTCTTTGGATGAAATTCATATTTCCCTATCTTGGCCCATTCTCTGGAGGACTGTCTTATTTTGTATAGATTCAACCATTATTTTAAGTATCTTTATACTATAGCTTTATATTTAAATAACCTGATCATTATTTAATTGCCCAGAGTCGTTGAGGATCAGGCAATATAAATAACATAATATAAAAAGCTAAAATCACATTTGCCAGTTCTTTAGCTTGTGCTGACCTTCATACACATGGTGTTTTTCCCAAGAGCTTAGAATGCCATAATGTATTGAAGTAGTTTATGTGTGGATCTAAGCAATGTGTCCTTTTGTAAATGTTTCTTTAAAAAAACATGCAAAATGTAACAGCATACAAAGTTCTCAGCTTAAAACTGGCAGTAAATATGTTTACTTGTTTTTCCAAAAGCTGCTTTTGCCTCATCAAACCTACCCTTTATGTCCATGCTTTGGTTTCATCTATCATCAAAATAGAGCCAAAGTATTTGTACTGCTTTTAGTCACACTAGATGCTGTTTTAGGACCTCTTTCCAGAGCACTATGCCATAGTCTTTTGAGACTGAAGGATGCCAATGAATTTATACTGTTCCACTTTCTGCATTTATTTTCCTATAATTGGTTCATGGATTTTATATTTGCTGAATAACTATATTTTTATTTTGAGTTACTTTTACTCAGTTAACTTAATAGAATAAATTTATAAATAGTGTTTGCTATTTGCTAGTAGACTATCTGGACACAGATAGTTTATTGTGCCACTAATTCGTATACCTTCTTGACATTCTTCTAAAGCTTTAGAATACATAATAGTGTGATAATGCACACACTTGTCAATCCATAAATTATTTGACATTTGTTGGTTTGCATACAGCTGTTTTCCAAATTCTGGTACACTCCAGATGCAATACAGTTATAATAGCTAGTATTCTACATTTTGACAACTCTATGATCATTTCAGATCATAGCTTTACAAACATTCCCTATTTTTTATTGAACTTTTACTAAAGGATGGTAAAAGTTCAATAAAAAAATAGGAGAGATATGTAAAGCTATGATCTGAAATTGTGACAAAAACTGCTTTGTCGTCAGCATTTGCAGAAATTTTGACTTGAACTTTTTGTACAGGTATAGGGAAAATTTCATTTTGTGTTTGCAGACAATGAAAATATTTTTATATGCTGGTTATTTTTATTACAGAAGAATAGAACTTTTTACTTTTTTATAACGTATACCCTTAATACAAGGATTGCACTGAATTTCACTGTAAGATTGTAGTTTACTGCACAATTTCTACATTACAGGAATATTTCCTTTATGGAAAAGCTGCAACTGTGTTCATTGTTTTAACATATTTCTTTCAGAAGAAATTAAATTTATTTTAAAAATAAGAAAAAGAAAAAAGTTCTTTGTTTTGGTAGAGTTGACCTCATTTCTTTTAATCAAAGTATATGGAATGTTTTGAATTCCAGCCCTGAAATGTCGGACCTAATCTTAAATGAGAAATTTAGAAAATGTGTTTTTATTGAAACTATACACATTTCTTATTGATGCAAACTCAGTGTAGCAATAAAATTGCTGCGAATCAATTCACATTCAAAATTTTAAAAAGTTATTAAAATAACTAAGAGTTGAAAATATAGCAGTTGCTTAGCTTTCTAAGAAGCAGAAGTAAAAAAAAAAAAATCCCACCTATTTCTATAGCTGCCATTTTCCATCTTTGCTAATAAAAGGAGCTGAAAATAGGAAGGGCGGGGATTCGTGAGGCAGATGCAGCCGGGAACACAAATAAGCATAAAGAACAAGCAAAATGCGTGAAAACAGAGACTTAAGTTGATCAGTGGGACAATTACGGCTGAATTTGCCCACACAAAGACGTCAAGAAGCGCTGCCAGGTGATGAGTCAGAGACCTTCCGCGCCCCCTTTCCTTGGCGGCCACCCCAGCTGCGTTCTGGGCGGGGGACTCCGGAAGAGCTGCAAGGAGGCTGCAGCTGCGGACGAAACGGGGGGGGGGGTGGGGGGGGAAAGCGGGCCGCCTCCGAATCTTTCTGCGACCCCTCCAGCAGCCCCCTCTGACCGCAGCTGGGCCGGCGGCGGAGAGCGGATCCGTTCCGCATGCTCACGGCCTCTCGCCCCATTGGTCTGGCTGCGGTCACGTGCTGGCTGGGGTTGGGGAGGCAACGGAGCCCTGCCCACCTTCTCGCTTCCTTCCCCATCCATCCACCCACCCACCCACCCAGCGGGCAGCCCAGCGAGAAGGAGCGGCTGGAAGCGACCAGCAGTTATGGCCTGTCTCACCATCTACAGCACTTCAGTCACCGGTTCTCGGGAGGTAAGCCCAGCCCAGAGCCCCCCCCAGCCCCCACCCGCAAGCGCTCGTCAGCCCCTGCAAGAGGTCGGTGCCGCCCCTTTGCAGTATGCGCTGCCTACGGGGGTGGGGTCTTCTTCTCTCTCCCCCCCCCCCATTTTCCTCCCCTTCCCCTGGAGAGACTGCCTGGGCGCCCTCCGCCCCAAACTCTCTCCGCACTTTCCTTTCCCCGCTTCTCGCGCCCCTCCCCTTCCCCAGCCAGGTCTCCCAGATGTGCTCGCCTCTGCATCCTCCAGCCAGAACATCTGGAGGGCGGGCAAGGAATCTTTCCTCTTGGCTTTAGATGGGCTTCTCTTCCCTTGAGGGTCCCCGCGAGGGTGGATTCCTTAAGTGTAAGGGGAGCAACTCTTTTTCGGTTCCAAATTCCCGCCCACGCCAGTGGAGACGCTGGAGCGATTTGAGGAAAAGCTGAAGGGGAAGAAATCCAATCCTGTGACAAAGGGGGAGGGAGGGTCTTCCTTTACTAAAGGCTCTTCCCCAACCCCGAGGCATGGAGTCTTCCTTCCTTCCTCCTTCCTTCTTCCTTCCTTCCTTCCTTCCTCCTTCCTTCCTTCCTTCCTTCCCTTCCCTTCCCTTCCCTTTCCTTCCTTCCCTTCCTTCCTTCCTTCCTTCCCTTCCTTCCTTCCTTCCTTCCTTCCTTCCTTCCCTTCCCTTCCCTTCCCTTCCCCTTCCTTCCTTTCCTTCCTTCCTTCCTTCCTCCTTCCTTCCTTCCCTTCCCTTCCCTTCCCTTCCCCTTCCCTTTCCTTCCTTCCTTCTTCCTTCCTTCCTTCCTTTCCTTCCTTCCTTCCTTCCTTCCTTCCTTCCCCATCCCCAGGCATGGAGCCATCCTTGCTCCTGTTATGGGGGCTGCCATCTCTTTGATCACTAATGGAGGATTCTGCCTGTATTTAGCTAGGATTGGATTCATTCACTGGAAGTATGACTCTGGCTTTTCATATTTCAGTTGCCTTCTTTGCAATATCCCAGTGCAGGGTGATTCACCCTCTTCCCCTTTTTCTCTTCCTCTTCTTTCCTTTTCCCCCATTGATATGCCTGCCCCACAGATCAAATCCCAGCAGAGCGAAGTGACCAGGATCTTGGATGGAAAGAACATCAAGTACAACATGGTGGATATCTCCCAAGACAATGCCCTTCGGGAAGAAATGAGGAACAAATCGGGCAACCCCAAAGCCATTCCTCCCCAGATTTTCAACGGGGACCACTACTGCGGGGTGAGTGACCCCTGGCTGTAGGTAGTAGGTGCTGTATTGTACATTGCTGTTTGGGAGAGTTTTCTCTGGGACAGCAGTAGCAACGTTAAATGTTTTGCATCTCATTAAGAACGAGCAACTTGGATGCATCCTAGTTCATGTGGCTATTCACTGTGCCAATGTGTTAATGCCAACAAAACTGCAGACTTGTCCAGGCAGTCAAAACTGACTCGAAGGCCAAAAAAAAAAAAGAAAAGAAAAAAGTAGAAGTGCCCATTACCTCTGCAACAAAATGGACTGGCTGGTTTCTTGTTTAGTTCAAAGTAAATGTACTGGTAGCCGTTTAATTGATCTAAATGTACGGCCAAGGATTTCTAGCTCCCTAGTCTTTAGCGAGAGCATAAAAAACGGTGGAGGTAGATGAAGAACCAGCCATGATCATGGTAAATATGTCCTTGAGTCAATCTCCTGGCATGGGAGTATCCGTGGATTTGGCTACAATACAGATGAGGCTTGCCAATGCCGTTGACTTTTTCCAGGGCGTGTTTCGTTTTTAACTTCCCAGTCTGAGCTGCAATCTTGAATTTCCTGGGTAAATATTATGCCCATCCCTGCTTGATCAATTTTTTTCCCCCTTTCTAAAGATCAGCTTTAGAGGTTGGCTAAGTGCTGCCATCTGGCGTCTCTCACAATTGTTTTACATTCATTGCTCATCTCTGGCCTTCATTGTTTCTTTTGCTTTCAGCCTGGACTTTGTTCAGTCCTGTTGGCCCCTTTTAAATGAGAATGAATGTTGCTTTTCTCTCTCTACTCTCCATGCATATTGGCCTTGTGTTAACCAGAATTCCCTGCCTTTGCTGACAAGTTAATTTTAATAATTAACTTGTAGTTTTACATAAGAGGCTAATCTACAATCATAGGATGGAATACTGGCTCTGGTAGCCTCATCTTGTGACTAGGCCAAGATTTCAATAGTAATGCTAAATGAATGAAGGGCCTGCATAACAAGGGCTGCGCATAAGTAGCTCAGAGTTAACAACTCCTTATGTGTAATATGACTGCGGTGGTATTCTTACTGGTGTCATTTTGTATTATTTAGAATGGTGAAAGGAAGCTTCTAGCCTTCCAAATATTGCTAAGTTACAACTCCCAGCATCCCTTGATATTGGCCATGCTGACTGGGGCTGCTAGGAGTTGTAGTTCATCAACATCTGGAGGGGTTCTGCATCTGGAGATTTAGGCTCCTCCGGCAAATGTTTAAATGAATTTTATCATAATTTGATTTATATGCCGCCCTTCTCCGGAGACTCAGGGCGGCTTACAATGTGTTAAGCAATAGCCTTCATCCTTTTGTATATTTATACAAAGTC